CATAGGGAGAAGCAGAAAGGAACACTGTAGTTTGGGAACAAGCAGAAAGAAAGCTCCAAATCATTTTGCTCATCCCTGCTGTGAAAGTTTTTATTTTACAAAATTTTACAGTGTGGCTTTACACCAACATCAAACCACAAAGTTCTGAACCCATAAACCATACTGATAATTTCTGAGAACTTGCATACCGCTGGAGAAACACAAACCAAACCAGACCTCCAGTTTTTGAGGGAAGTTATGGAGAAATTGAGGTGCTTGGACCTCTTGAAACCCAACACTTCACTGAGATACCTTATTGATTTCTGGCTTCCTCACAAACCATGCTATCACTCCAGAGTAGTTGAGAGTGTTGAAGCACCAAGCCCGTTTTCGATGAAAACACAAAGGAAACCAGCTACCTCTTGGTTGCGACAGTCTTTATTTTTGGAAGGAGGTTGCTGGACTCACACTTGTGCCAGCGGTGCTGGGGCTGCACCCTGTGTCAGATGTGACCCCTTATCAGTGCAAGCAGGTGGCATCTGCCTTTAAGGTTCAAAACTGCAGAGGAGGGGCTGGGCTGTGCATGCCCAGTCTCAAGCCTGGGTTTTGCTTTCCTCGGGAGCTCGTGGCTTTTCCCCAGTGGTAAGTCAAACCTGGGTGTTTTGGTTTAAGCCCTTTCTAAGAAAGATTGCTTGCAGTGGAAGGTGGTATTTTGGGTGAGAAGTGTTGTTGTGTTGCAATAGTTGACTTTAATGGCTTTCTGTCATTGTTTCTTGGGGTGGTGAGTGGCCTGTTTGCTTTATCTTTAATCTCTTTAATACGAAGGTAGGAAAGGGTGTAATGTGGTGACAAAGGGAAGGATGTGCTTAGACTGAGCAGTGGGAGCAGAAATGGTCTTGTTTTCTCTCCACTTCACCACCACTTTTATGTCATGCTTGGCCAAGCCGTCAGGGCTTTGTTTCCTCCCATGATGGGACACTCAGCTGCAGGGAAAGGCGACAGCAGTGTGGCCACAGTTTATGAGAAACAAATGCTGTGCTTTTCCTTTTTTGGAAGGGTGAGTTGGTTTTGGTATGGGTTTTTTTCTGTAAACTCTGAATTGGAGTGCTGTGTGGGCACAGCTACAGGTGCGTGTTGTCATTGCCGTGTTTTCAGAAATGTCACTCATCAGTGGGGTGGCAAGGGGGATCAGCTGGGGCACATCCCCACTCAGGGGCTGTAACACAGCTCTGCTGAGGGAGTGCTCACTCAGGAGGCAGCACCACAATCACTGTGCCTGGGGCTCCAGCCCACCTAGTGAATTTGGAGAAGTGCTTTCACCTGGACTCTGGGCTGCTCCTGTTTCAGCAGATAAATGGGAGCTCAGTGGGAGGGCATGGTTGCCTGAAGCCTGTTCTGGGATCCTCCGGCTCAGGAGCTGTGTGCCAGTGCTGCACAGAGGAACGCTGCTCTTGGTGAGGTGCTGCTTCTGGGAGAAGGCTTAACTTGCTATTAATAATCCCCTGGTGGTTTTTAAAGGAGGGGCTTGTGGATGCAATATCCTATTCAGCTTGCAGTTTGATGGGGGCTGTAAATCCCCCTGTAGCTCCTGGTGCAGTTAGTGCTCTCTGTTTGTGAGAAGCATCCTGCCAGATAGTTCAGCAGTTGGTGCAGGGACCTTGCAGACTTTGAACAGAAACAACCTAGACGAGACTTACTGCTATGCCTTGTTCTGTTCTAGTCAGTATTTTGATATAAGAGGTTGTGTTCAGTAGTGCTATTTCCTGTGATGGCCTTTGGGATGATCAGATGTAGGTAAAAGGATGTTGTTTAAGTGCTTGTTAATAAAAAAAGCATCTGGTTCATAGAAGCAATTTAAGCAATGCAATCTTGTGTTTAACTTTAGGCACTCAACAATTATTTTGCTGAAAGGAGAGCATTTGCTGATGTGGGAAAAGACAATTAACTAAAGTAGTGAAATTTATGCACAGATTTTATATAGACTTTAGCTATTATTTCCCAGTGGAAATTCAGACACTTAAGTATGTGTTTGATAGACAGAAGCTTCTCCTCTTTGTTGAAGGCTGTTAGTTAAGGAAAATAGATTTTGTTGAGGTTTAGGTTTTGATTTTAGGTTTAGATTTTGTTGAGACCACAGGGAAGGAGACAGTTTATCTGGCATGCAGCTTTGTGCTGAGCTGAGGTTGGTTTTCTTACCTTTTGACAGCTCTTTCCTGCCTGAGAACAGGGTGCACCAAACTGAGTTTACTGTAATGCTGGGGCCTCCTCTGTAATGCTGTGGCCTTGCCAAGGCTGACTGCCTAATCTTGCTGCCTCCTTTGGAAATAGAGCTGTACAAGTAGTAAAGGTGCTGAAGGAGTCTCTGTAAAAGCATTAACCAGGAGACTCCTTGTGCTTGGTATAGGGAAATGTGCCCTTTTGGTCATCAGGTAAAATCTTGCAATGCTTTTCCTAGAATCAGTAAGCTAGGAGTTTGTCTGGCTACAGGGACAAAGATGCTGCAGCTGGAAAGTATCCCCCTCTGGAGAAATTCAGAGTTGTGGTTAGCAGATGGATGCACCAGCTGTGTTCCTAGCTGCTGCAATGCTTTCCAACAGCTTGGTTAGCTACAAAGGTGTAGAGGAACAAACCTGGCTCTATCAGTTTGTGCAGCTGGTATCTCTGCACTGCTTGGTTGGGGCAGGTTTGTGCAATTGCATTTGAGCAGGACCACCAGGAGCAGAGCAGGCAGGGTGAACTGGGACACTTTGCCTTTTTGAGACAGAACTTTGTCCAGCAGTGAACCAAAGCTGGGGCGTGCTGAGGCATGCACGAACCTTGTTGCACTGAGACTTTCTGAAGGAAAGGTCTCTGAGAGAGGTCTGGTTTGGTATAACTCTTTTTCCCTTGAAGTCAGTTCCTGTCTGTGTAGTAATGAAATGCGATTTTTAGTGTACTGTCGAAAGCAGTTGTTGTTAAGTGGCAAATAATTGTTAGAAATGAGCACTTTGATGGTTTGAGAGAACCCGTTGTGGGGTTTCTCTGCCCATTCCTGGTGGTCAGGACTGGGTGCAGGGTATTGAGCAATGCCTGTGGTCTGTCTGGGTGTAGCAGCAGAGGAGGTTGCAGGCCTTCCCACTGTGCAGCTCCAAGGCTCGTGGTGGCATTGATCTGCAGTTTATATGACAGGCTTTAGGCCAGAGCTGTTCTTCTGGGTTTCAATATGGCATTCTTGAAAGTGTCTTACCTGACTGAAAGGCTGAAAGAAGTAATTTTGGGTACTTTGTGGGATAACTGCTGTTCTCAGAGGATTTGTGATTATTTTTTCACATGTAGCGTGGGCATGTGCTCCCATCTGTGAGGTGGAGCTATTACCCATGCATTTCTGCCTTTCATTTTTGTTTCTGGCTGTTTGTGAAATTTTCAATTATGCTGGAGGTTTTTTCCCTGATTGTAAAAAGGATGAGGAGCTGAAGTGATGCTTTCACCTATTTTGAGGCATGCCCAGCACTGGCTCCAGGGGGCTTTAAAGCCACTTTTGTTTCCTTTAGCTTAGAATAACAATCTGCTCTTTCCTGAGAGCAGAGGTGAGGAAAACCCAGCTTTTTGCAGACTAGAGTCATCCTCAAAATGAAAGTGGCTATATATATTCAGTAAAGAGAGCTAGATACCTCTATGACAGCAGCCAGAAGTAAATACTTCAGGAAAAGCGGAGTAAAAGCACTATAGCGTGATCTTCCCTCTGAAACACTTTTTCTTAATTTTGGCAGCTTAATAAATTAGGGTCTTCCATGCAATTTGTTTAGACTATTGTACTAATCAGGACCAATATGTGCCAAACCAAATATTAGTCCAAGTCTCTTTGGAATCCAGTTGTAACCTTGGCTCCTGCCATGGCCATTCCCCTGGCAGAGAATGTGGCTGTTCACTTGCATTGTGCTGAAATAACTCTCATGGAAATTGTGCAGGACACCCCCAACCCTGCAGCAGGAAAGGTGGTCACCTGCCTCATATTCTGAAGTTGAGCTGAGACTTTTTGTCAACTGCAAATATACTGGAGAAATTCCTCCCACCCCCTTTACATCTGTCAAGTATTTTGACATGGGTCTAAAAGCTGCTGTGTTTGAATTTAGAAATTGGCCAGTGGGATGAGAATGTGCAGCTGTGGAAGGCATGAGTGCTCCAGCTCTGTCACTGCTCCTCTTGGGCCCACCTATTTCTGTGAGGCTTGTGGGAGCTTAAGGGGATAAAAATGGCCAAGGTAATTAGCAGATCTGGTGGAAATCAGTTGATCTGTCTCAGAAATTGGTGGAGGTGAGAAGGCAGTAGACAAGCAGATAAAATCTGATGTGATTTAACTTACTTCCATAGAAAAGAAAACAAAAATATTATTTTATTCTTGTTATTATTCAAAATAAAAAGAGGAAAACAACCAAAAAAACTCCAAACCAAGCAAAACCACAACTGAATACTTAGTTCATGACCTCAGCTGCAGTGGCTGGGTGTAGAGGTCACCTAAATCATTCAAGGGCATGCCATTTAGACAGGCAAATGGCCTGGGACAGTGGTATCCCACACTGCTTAGCTGCTTCACCCGCTGTGAAGACTACCTGCTTCAGATGGGAAATTGGTCATTTGGGGGAAAAGGGAAAATGGTTTGTTCGGGTTTTTTGTTTTTTTGATTTTTAACTCTCTTTTTTGATTTTAATCTCTGGGATTCTAATGACACAGCATCCCAGTGGACTCTGATGGGTATTTAACTTATTGGGAAGGGTGGCCAAATTCTCTCCCATCTAAATGCAGCATCTGCAGCAGTGTGGAATGTGTGTTGTACAGCTGTGAATGTCTCAGGCATTCAGTGTGTCTCCTTTTTCACACAATAGCTTCTATTTATGGGTTTTCATTGAGCTGGACTCATGAATTCAACATGTCTTTTTGTGTGTGTTTCTCTTTTTCTTTTGGTTTGTTTTTTTCTTTCTTTTTTTCTTCCTTTTTTTTTTTTCTTCTTTTTTTTTTTTTTTTGGTTGCTTTTGTTTTTTAAGGTTTGTAGAAACTCCGAGCCCCTTCTCCTGGAAGGAGAGTTACTACCGATCAGCCATGTCCCAAAGCTCTCAGCCCAGGGAATTCCTCAGCCCAGAGGTAATCCAGCACATCTGGGACTTCCTGGAACAGTAAGTAACCCTTCTGTGGAACATATGGAAGGTGTTTTAGGGCAGGATGCCCCTGTAATTAGGCTGCTCAGGGACTGATGCTGGGGAGTTTGGAGTCCTGTGTGTGTTGATTAGATATGGCTGTGATGGCTGGATGTGTCAGTCTGTTGTGACTGACAGCTCTGGAGCTCCCCAGAGGTCCCACACCTGGCTGTGGGGACCAAGTGCAGGGGTCAGCAGTGGCACTGATTGTCTGCCAGGCCTCTGGTGCCTGAGCTGGCTGCTTCCTAAGGCTGGTGGTTGGCATTTCCCCTCAGGAAATGGGCTCATCACTCTGTGTCCAGGCTGCATGTTTTCCCCCTGCTGGTGCCAGGGAGGGAGAGGATGTGAAGATGGGGCAGAGTTCACCTGTCAGGTCCATTGGCTGAAAGAAAACTGACTCTGTTCCCATTCCTGACTTGCCATGACTGATGCTGAAACAATCACTGCTGTAAATCCTCCATGAGCTCTGTCTTTGAGTGGTTTGACTCTTCTGCTCTTGCCTCAGAGTGAGTGAAATGTGCCTCAGGGCCCTGTCCTGTTCAGGGCTGCTGTAGTACAGTGGTGAGGAGGTGGCTGCTGCTCAGTAATTCCTGACTTTGCCATGAGACTGGCTTGTGGGAATGCCCAAGTCCTGGGCACAGGGGAAGGGAAGGAAGGTGGGGTGGTGGAAAACAGAACTTGGCCACTTTTAACTCCATTACTGTGTTCTTTCCAGGCCAATATGCTCGGTTCAGCCAATTGATTTAAACTTCATTGATGGCCCATCTGAAGATGGCTCCACAAACAAAATTGAGATCAGCATGGATTGTGTCCGGGTGCAGGACACCGAGCTGAATGACCCAATGTGGGTGAGTAATGAGAAACTTCCTCAAGCTTTGGGGGCACAAGGGGAGTTTTTGCAGGAGCTATTCCAGCTGCATTGCCCCAGGGCCATCTTCCCACCTTGGCTGGCTCCTCACCTGCTCCTCTTCTGCAGCAGCAGTGGCAGGAGAGAGGGATGAGGCAGCTGAACTGGCAGGAGAGCTGAGGAGCCTCTTGCACAGGCTACTCAACCATCCCTGCACTCTCCCTGCTTAAAGCTAGTTTGACCTCAGGGTTAAAATAATTCTGGGCACAGTTGCAATTTTGCTGACCAAGGCCAGAGGTTCTTCACTGGTTTTTCTTCTCTTGGGGGCCATATATGAATGAAAACTTGTTTTCAGACCGTGGTTGGGTTCTTTTCCCCTCCAGTTTCTTCAGACTAGAGAGTGTTTGTAATGAGTCTTGGCCATGGGTATCTCAGGGATATGGCTCAAGACTGGAATGCAGATGAGGCACTGGTGCTTGCTGGTTCATTGCCTTTGGAACTAACAGACTGGCTCTTTCTTAGCAATAGCTCTTCTGAAGAAGCCATGTGCTTTTCTTGCAGGCTGGAGCAGGAGGTGTTTCAGGAGTTTGAGTTGCTCATGTCCTGTTTCTGTTCTTCCTGGGTTTTGTATACTTTGGGGTAAAAATAAAGTGTAGTTTGAGATTTGTGTTGGTATCTGTAAATTTTCTTGTTGTTTCTCAGGATGTTTCCATCCTGAGAAACTGTTCTTTAATTCCCTGGCTAATCAACCACAATTTTTGATGTGCCCAGTGATGGTGTGTTGGCAGTCTGTGTGCTGGTAGTGTTTGTGACCTGGAGGATTGTGTCTGCAAGGAAGGAGCTCCTGGGTCACTCTGGTTGCAGTCCCTGGTGACAGGAGGTTTGACCTGTCAGTGCTGCACTGGTGTGACTGCTGGGGAGGCTGCAGTGCTCTTCCCTTCCCAGTAAGGTTGCAAAGGGTTAAAAAGCTGCTTTGAGGTTGGGTATGCCTGGATGATGTGGTGAACTAATCCAAGTGCACAAGGAGAGGTGACCTCCATCATGTCTGGTTATCTTTTGATTCAGCATTTGGTGGGGTGCAAGCTTTCCATCAGCATCTGGATCTTGGCTTTTTCTACTATTAGAGCACAGCTCCAGTGAAATGGTGTCTCCTCAATAGTCCAAAAGATTCTCCATGTTTACAGGGGATTCAGATTTTCAAAGTGAACTATAAGGGTCTGTTTGAACTGTCCCCCTGAAAACTAATTCCTAACAGTTTAAAGGACATTAGCAGTAACTTTTCTTGTTCCATGCTCAAATCTAGATTTGTGGCATTGAGCACAAGCTCACCTCCCCATCTCCTGTCCAGGCTGCCTGCAGAGCCCTGTGGTGGCTGTTGGGCTCACTGAAGGCCTGTTCAGTCTCCCCCTGCCTCAGTGCTGCAGTGGAACATGATTGGAAAGTCCCTTCCCCTTGTTCTCTCTGAGCACCGCTGCCTGGGAAGGGGACAAGAAGCTTTCTCTATGCAATTATTTCTTGCTGATGATGAGTTTGAGCCCAGCCTTGCAGGAGGCATTTCTGGAGAGGCCAGGCTGCAGGGTGACTTCTTTTAAAGAAGTGTTTTTCACTGACGTGACAAGCTGAAGGGGGAGCGGGGAAATTCCATCCCATCCTCACCCTTACTGTAAAGGCAGCAGCTCGGAGTACATTAATGTATGTACATTTATAAATGTTCCAGTTTGTCTTCAGTGGAAGACAGCACCTTCTCTCAGTTGAATGCTGGACAAAAGCCTTCACAAAGCAAAATATGCACTGCAAACCTGTGCAAACAGCCCGTCTTTTAAAATGAGGAAAGCTCTTTTTATTCCCCTTACCACCACCACCACCTCCCTATAAATTTGCAAACATCCCTGACAGGTGACAACTCCCCTTGCAGAGAAGTCTGTGTTTGCTTTGCTGTTTCTGGGGCTCGCAGCGGCTGCAGCTTTCATTGGCAGAGAATGTGTAGCCTGGGGCAAGGTGTTTGCTTTAATCTGAAATACCTTACAACTCTCTTCCCCTCCAGCTTCTCTTTTCCTTTGGATGGCTCCGGGGCACGAGCTTCCCTTGCACCTGTCTCTCCTGTAACCTCAGCCATGTCACTCCTAGACACGAGGTGCTGCATGCAGCTGATTGCAGCAGAGGGTTGAAGAGGGCAGATAAACACAAAGGAATGCAGCAGAAACAGAGGGGCCCGGGGAGATGAGCACTGAGATCAAGGCAGAGTGCTTTATAGTATTACATTTGTCTTAGGAAAAGAGCAAAGCCAGTTTTTGTCCAAAATGCAGCACCATGTGAGATTTAAATGAGCACAGAGCGTAAAAGAGTGGTTTGTTTAAGTTGATTGTCCTTGTGTGGACTTCTAAGAAATTCCACAATTCAATTTTAAAATAAGATTTGCACTTTCTTGCAATTTATGGCTGAAAAATGAAACTTGCAAATGAAAGGTCTTAAAAGATGTCTATCCTTGAGCCCAAGAGTTGTGTTGGTAGAACCTGTGATTTTTTAATTTTTCTTTTATTATTTGACTTTTGGGAGTGCAAATCTTGTTGTTTGGGAGTCCAAGTGTTGTTCTATTGTTCACAACAGAACTAGTAGTGGGGAAGGAGCTGCAGGGCCTGAAGAAACTGTCCCACGAGTGGGCTGGAAAATGAGCAGGAGTCCTGCCCTGTTGAACACCCATCAGTTGTGTTCATTGCCTTGAAAATGCAGTTCTTTAGGGAGAAACCTGGGGAGAAGGCTGGCTGACACAGAAACCCCTCTCATCTGGGCTGTAGCCCTGTCTCTTGCTGAGACCTTGCAGTTCTCACTCACTTGTTTTGAGGAAGAAATAATCTTCTGTGTCTGTGTAAGAAAGGGGTAAGAGAAACTGGTGATCTGCACTAGCTTGGGATGAAAAGCTCTGAAGGGGGCAGGAAGAGGTTTCTGGCTCTGGTATAACATTAGACAGTCAGCAACCTTCCCCAGCCGTGTGACCAGCTCTTTCACAATGTCCTGGGTGGCCCACCCTGGCTGTCAGCTGTGGCCTTTCCTGTCCCCTGGTGTGAACCACAGGCAGCCTGGGAAACCCCAGCGAAGATCTGCCTTTTTTGCATAACTGGAGTGAAGGGCTGGTGGTCCCTGTGGGTGTGGAGAGCACTTTGTGCCATGGCCCTGGTGTGGGAAGGAGCTGCAGATGGCCAGGAAGGTGAGTTGCACGTGTGTCCTTGTGGGCCTCCTGCCATTCATTTAAGTGCACCAAAGAAGGTGATCCCCAGCCTGTCCTCTGATCAAGGATGCAGCCAGCAGCTGTGGGGTGTGGTGGGGTGATGTCTAGTTCCCTGCATTCAGGATGAACACTGATTGCAAAGCCTGTATCCTGCAGTGCTAGAAATCAGGTAATGTTACAGCAATTTTATATTTGTGTCTGACTGGTTAAATGCCCTGGGGCATCAGGGAGGAGAGGTCTGGAGATCCCTCTCTAGGAGTGGGTGTGTGGCAGTGCAATAACCCCTGCATTGTCCTGGAGCCTTCTTAGTGCTGTCAGCCTGCTCTACCAGGTGCAAAATTGCTTTCTCTTACCCTGTCTCAAAAGTCCTGCAAGCTCATTGATGCTAAGAGATGCTGGTCTGGACCCAAAGATGCTTTGGGCTAAGGATTACTTAAAAATAACACTTTACTTTACTTGTAAAGTAAAAGTGTTATTTGAGGGGCTGGCAGAGTTTGTAAATCTTCTGCCACCACCACCCCCCAGCAGTGTGGCCAGGGCTGCAGGGACGCTGCTGACAGGAGCTGGAGTGCTGTCCCCAGGGATGGAGCAGCTCATCCCCCTCCCCCTGTACATACCTTCCTGTCATGCCCCTGAGCGAGCCCAGCCGTCCTCCCTCCCCAGCCCCTTGCCTAACCAGTTCAGTGGAATGCCTGCTCCCCAGACACTGCCTGGCCAGAGTTTTCTTAACCTGGATCCATCCCTCCCCGTAAAAGGCAGAGAGAATTCCTTGCCTTTTTTCCCCTTTTTTTTTTTTTTAATTTATTTGTTCTCCTTCATCTTCTGCAAATAATTGTGGGATTTGCTGTGTGTGGCTTGATCAGGCAGTGCTGAGCAGCCTGTGGAGTGGGTTTCTACCCTGGGGATGGTGGTGTGTGTAGGGCTGGGTTTGGGTGTACAGCTTCATGGGCTGTGGGTGTCCCAAGTGTGGTAGCTGCAGAAATTTTGCAAATTCAGTGTGTTTCATAGTTTTAAAACTGAGAGCTTCAGCTCTGTAGCTCTGCTGTTCTCCTTTATGCACAGAGGTGGAGGTAACAGTAGGGTAGATATACTGGATCCATCTTCTGCAGGAAATGGAGGTGTTGAGGCTCTCAGCCTCAGTGCTTTTACCAATGACACATCTCAGAGTTGGTATCTGATGCTTCCCAATGGAAACAAGCAACCTTTCCCATATTTAATCTGCTGTAGGCTCATGAAAGTGCCACCAAACCACCTTGCACAGAATACAAAGACCTGGGAATCCAGGCTGCAGCCCAGCAAGCTGGCTCAAGGTGGCTGCTGGCTCTCTTGTGCATGCCCTCAGCCTTAGCACCCTGTAAATCAGTAATTCATATTTGATGGCCATGCACAGAATTCCTGGTCCCCATCACGTGGGAGCTGTGGTCAGGATCAGCTGTGCACCTGATGGACAGACACAAAAAGCTCCCCCCCTCCTGTCCTGCACGACTGCTGCATGCATTCTATCCAATGCTTTAATATTAAAGTGCAGGCTCTGAACTCTGTTGATTTTAATTGCTTCTTGAAAGTGTTTTTCTGGTTCTGGAGAAGAGAACTGCACTTGTTGCAAGGTAATGGCTGAAGAAGCAGCTGGAAGCTGGTTATGGGGTGGTGGAACTGTGGGATGGAAGGATGTCCCTGTGTGCCCACAGCAGGGCGGGGAGCTGATGTGGCGAGTAGTGCAGGAATGGTGCTCTGTGCAGGGACTGGCTAACACGTGATGTGTGCTGCCACGGGCT